AAACTAAATTAATTATATAGATCAAAGAATAATAAAAAGTAACTAATAATAGACAAAGTAATAGTAACTTAGTATTGTTATTAGGTAATTACTATAATTAGTTCCTTTCTAACTTAACTTACCTAACTATAAGTACTTTCGTTGGTATCTCTCTCTCTCTCTCTCTCTCTCTCTCTCTCTCTCTCTCTCTCTGTGTTTCTATCCAAATATAACCATAAATCATTAGAGAGATTCGAAAAACTATATATTCTCTCATATTTGATAAAGGGAAAGCATTACATGTGACCCCGCCTACATATGAAGCATATGTAACCCTTACTCTTATCTGTCCGATCTAATTAGAGTTGGCTCTTGAGCATCAGGTCTTGATCCGATGGCTTAGAGTGCTTTATTTTATTTTATTTTATTCTATAAATCATTGTACAATGAAATTTGGGGTATGCATACATGATACAAATTTACAAAAAATCTGGTGATGTAAATTACCAGAATACCGCTGAAACTTTTGGAGGCTTTGGTCATTTATTTTCATATGAAATATATTTTTTATTTTTGCTAGGTGTGCCCCAATAAGAAGAGGGGATGCCACTCAAAAATATTTTCGTAAAAGGAAGATTAAAAATCAAACAGTGTTTAACATGACACCGTAACATGAGAGGATCCCAGCCCTCCATTCAGATCGAATGGCTGAGAAGTGGGGTCACATATACTTTTATGTATGTGGGGTCACATACAGAGCTTTCCCTTTAATAGAAAGTGTTATCCAATGTGGATATTAATTACTAGAGTGCCTGAATAAAATACCTATGAGGAAAGCTATATTTTTAGGAAGGATTTTAATGGTAGTATGTTCTTTTCTTTTCTTATTATTATTATTATTATTATTATTATTATTATTATTATTATTATTATTATTATTATTATTATTATTATTATTATTATTATTGACATGTTAATGGGGCAGGAATGTAACCCTTGACATGATGTTGTAGTTCAGCCCCCCTGAGCACCCAGGCTGAGGACCCATTCCTATTAGTGGTAGTAAACTTCCAAAATGGATTAAATATAAAGACATTAAATATTTTTTTAAGACTTTAAACATTTATACTAAAGTTTTATATGTATCCAACTTGTAATTAATGTGGTTATCAAGAATGCGTAATTTTAAATTCTAATAAATCCCTTATTTTATATAAAGCTATGATCAAATTTGAAAATATTACACAAAGGAGTCATCTTTATATGAATCAACGTACTGAAACAAGGACACTTTAGGAACAAGATTTGTACATACCAAATTTTCTTTCAGCAGGATGGTATAGATTCTGATGCGGGTGTTTGCATAACTGCCCTTCTCATAACTACGACTAAAATAAGTCATGATAATAATAAACAAATATGCATCTATGGAGATAGGCAACAACCTCCTTGTTCATTAAGTACACATGCATCACCTCTCCTCCTCGAACTAATACTATTTCCATCTAAATGGGGCTGAACTTTCAGAGTGGGGAACTGGGGATTATGAATACAATCCACATAATTGCATGTATTCAGATTCTAATT